CAAAAATTGTTTGCAACTTCCCAAAAATGTTCTTTTAAAAGCACGAGCATTCTTTTAAAAAATTTGTTTTCAAGATTCAAAAATTGTTCATGCTTTCAAAAATTGTTCGAGCTTCCAAATTTGTTCTCCATTTTAAAATTTGTTCTCCATTTTAAAATTTGTTCTCAACATTCAAAAATTGTTCGTGCTTTAAAAAATTATCCGTGCTTCTAAATCTGTTCTCCATTTTAAAATTTGTTCTCAACATTCAAAAATTGTTCGTGCTTTCAAAAATTGTTCGTGCTTCCAAATTTGTTCTCCATTTCAAAATTTGTTCTCAAGATTCAAAAATTGTTCGTGCTTTCAAAAACTGTGCGTGCTTCCAAATTTGTTCTCCATTTCAAAATTTGTTTTCAACATTCAAAAATTGTTCATGCTTTAAAAAATTGTCTGCGCTTCTAAATCTGTTCTCCATTTCAAAATTTGTTCTCAACATTCAAAAATTGTTCGCGCTTAAAAAATTGTTCTCCATTTCAAAATTTGTTCTCAACATTCAAAAATTGTTCATGCTTTCAAAAATTGTTCGTGCTTCCAAATTTGTTCTCCATTTCAAAATTTGTTCTCAAGATTCAAAAATTGTTCATGCTTTCAAAAATTGTTCGAGCTTCCAAATTTGTTCTCCATTTCAAAATTTGTTCTCAACATGCAAAAATTGTTCGTGCTTCCAAATTTGTTCTCTGTTTCAAAATTTGTTCTTAAGATTTAGAAAATGTTTGTGCTTTAAAGAAATGTCACAAACTCCAAGAATATTTGGGAAATTCAAAAGTTGTTTGTGTTTCCAAATTTTGTTTTGAAATTTGAAAAATTGTTCCTGTTCAGTTTTTTGGGTAGTTTAAAAAATGTTTCCGTTCCAAAAAAATATGTTCGCGTCTCCAAATTTCGTTTTTGTGTTGAAAAAATGTTTGAGTTTTCTCAAAATTTGTAAAATAAAACTAATAGTGTTCGCGTTTGATAAAATATTCACCTTTTGTTTTTGCTATTTTGGGAAATCGTAAAGTATGTTTTTCAAATGTGCATGCTTTAAATTTCCTTCACAAATTCATTTTTTTCACATTTTGTAAAAAAGGTTCCTGTTTTTGAAAATTTCTACACATCTTCAAAAATCAATCCCATTTTACAAGTTTGGTTAAAAATACACAACTTTTCAAACTCGTGCGTGCTTGAAAAAAACGTTCGTCTTTTAAAAAATGTTTATTTAGTATTTTCAAGAAATGACAAAAAAGCAAAAATAACCCAATCAGGCGATTTTTGTCTAGTATTAAAGTATTTGCGTTGCCTGTGTACCACGGAGGACGGTGCTCCTTGGCCCATCAGCTAGACAAATCCCGGTTGAAATTTGTCAAGGTTTGATTTAGACCGGGATTGCATAGTTCAGGGTGCAATCGACCGGGATTTTGACTTGGGGATTTGTTTCGCCAAACGTCTACGAGTTCAGAGTTTAAAATGAACTTTTTCCTTAATAATTCTTGTAACACGCGATGGAGCTAGATGGTCACGCCACCTTCGTGTCGCTTTTGCTTGGTTCGGATTTGCCGTGGATTGTAACGCAAAGGCTCGGCCTCGCTTGCAAGCATGCCCCAACACCATCTTCGCACCGCTTCGACGTCTCGCTTTCAGCGTGGCTAAAATTATTCTGTGTGACCATAGAGTGTTACGTTAGACATGGGATTTTCGGAGCATGTACCTTCTTAAAATACGCGGTTAACTTCGTACCATGTTGATCAGAAAATATTGCAATCATTTTTTTTTCGAAACGGAGACAAAAGCCTTGCCTCATCTCATTAATAAAGATGAAAGGTAACAGAAGTTAGTGGCGAGGTCATTACTCTTTCCGTCTTTCGTACTGTTTGAGTAGGTAGTGCGTCTACAGTTTTCCTGAGGAAGAAGCGAGTTATATTATTTAATAGAGTACAGACGCAGACACTCATACATACACACATGTACTCATCCTTATGAACGCACACACACACGCACACTCTATCCCTATGAAAAATATCCCGTGCTACCAAGGCTCGTGTGCTATCGTGATACAGACTTCTAGGCCGTCAGATTATCAGATCGAACGGTTCCTAGTAACTCTACAACATTTGCAAAAAAGCCTTCTAGGGTCCAAAAATTACACATAGGTGTAGCAGATCCAACAGCTCTCAAATGCCATCCAATTTGAGAATACAACGGAATGAAAGCCCGAGTCAGGATATCACTTTAGTCTTGGTAGCATCAGATACTCTCTCCCCGTATGAGCACCTCCAAAAACTGAGCCGGGCACATGTAATCAAGTTTCCAGTAGATAAGTGAATAACAGTAATAATGCACAAAAGAATCCCGAAAATGAGTAACGCACAAAAGAAGACGATGACCAGTTTAGAACTGAAAAACATGACTCAAACCAGATGCTATGAGCCAACAACGCTGCTATTACCGACGATACAAGAAGTGTCCTCAGGAAACAAGCGCAGATGAGTAACAAGGGCAACTTCAATGAGATGAGTAACAAGAGCAACTTCAATGGAGCGACCCATTTCGTCCGTCCATCTTCGTTTGGATTTGCATGGACAAAAATGACCACCCAACGCAGAGACTCATTTTTATTTTGCGTCCGCTTTGTGTCCACGCGGATCCATTTCCGTCCCAAATTTGAGTCATATTTGGGTCCGAGGCGGACACAAAGCGGATGGTTTCCGTCTCCTCCTCGTCCGTCTACGTCCGCTACACACTCCGTCTGGCCCACCTGCCATCCACCCACCTTCTTATTTTATTTTTTTCTTTCTTAGCTGCGCACCTCGCCTCTGCTGCCCCGTAGCAGCCACGCCGTCGCCAATCCCTTGCTCCGGCGAGACTTCGCAGGCGCCGCCGCCACTCAAGCCCGTGGCCGCGTTGGCCTCGCCGCGCTCGCACCGAAGGCAGGCGCTCGCCCTGCTCGCCGCGTTGTCGCTAGATCCGCGTGGACGCTGGTCGCCACCCCCATCCCCGCGCCGCCCCGCCGCCCCTGATAGCGCGCTAGGCCTCGCCGCGCCCAACCCCGGCAGCACCGACCTCGCCGCGCCCGCGCCAGGCTAGGCCGCGCTGCGCCCGACCAGCCGCGCCCGGCCACGCCCAGCAGCGCCTAGCCTGGCCTCGCCGCGCCGCGCCATGCTCGTGGCGCTCGACGTGCCGCCCCCGCTGTGGGGTTCGAGATCGCCCGTCGGCCTCCTGCGCGCTGCGAGCTCCCCTACCCTGCTTGCTACGTGTTTCAGGAAATGTCAGGGCGGACATGTGAAAAATGGGTCTGGCTACCGTTGGGCGCACTTGCAGACCCAAATTAAAAAGTGGACACGAACGCGCGGACGGGCGACTCAAACGGATAAAAAACGAATAAAATTGATGTCCGTTTGGATCGGAGTTGCTCTAGCAGTCGGAAAGCAAATCGTGTTGGATTGCCAGCGATCCAGCGAAGGACGTGAAGTCCACCGCCGATTGAACCACGCTCCAGCACTGTGCGATCTGCGAAGGAAGAAACAGAGTCCACATCTTCCCAAATTAGGCGGGCAGCCGTGCGCGCTTTACTCGCGATTGCACAGGCCCGGAAAGGCGGAAACGTTTTGGCCCGTGCCGAGAAGCGTTCACACGCGCACGCCGACGGGACACGGCGCGGCCGCCGCCAGCAACGGCTCAGACAGAGGCCCGCACCTGCCTCTGCCTCAAGGAAGGAAGGCGAACACCGCACGCACGCGGCCTCAAAAAAAGGAGAGCCTCCTGCTAAAAAAGAGAGGAAGGAGATCAATCCAGCGATCTGCTTGCTTCTTCCCCGCCCGCCCGCCCATATCGAGGATTCCATTCCAACCCACCCCCCGTCGCCCGCCCACGCAGCCACCATACCCAGCTCGAAAACGAGAGGATCGAGGGACAGCAAACCCGCAATCCGCAGGCCAAGGCCGGGGAGAGGATCGAATCAAGGAGAGCTCGCGTCGGGGATTGGAGCTCACGCGAACCAACCATGGTACGCCCTCTTCTCGATCAATTGGACGTTCTCGCAAGCTTGGCCTTTCTTCTTTTAGCAAGTTCCGTGATCACCGTCGGACGGCCGGCGGCATACGCATGGCCGGGCGGTGGCGAGGAGAGCAGGAGATTCTCTCGATCGAAGATTGGGGGGCGGCGCTTCGAGCGTCAGGTCGTGTGGCCTGCGTCCACGTCAGGGTAGCGAATATCGCCCGTGCTTTCGCCTCTGGCCCGCCCGCCGTTCTGTGGGCCTTTCTGTCCCGTCTCGCCAATTTCCCCCTTCCGCATTCACCTTTTCACCTGTGCGCTTCCACATGTACGACTACTTACTGGGCGGTAAAGGTGATTATCCGTTTTCCTTTCGGAAAACAGAACAAAAAAGTCATAGACGCCGCTGGTTTTTAATTTCGGAAACAAAACAATTTTGGACGATTTTGGATTTTGAGAAGGTGAATTTTTAACCTGTGCCGGCAAAATCAACACTGGGCGATCGACCTAAATCTGTGACGTCGGATAAGATTTCTTTCGGCACGGGCAATAATCTTTGATAACCTCGTGCGTTTTAGTCCTCGTGATGTAACAGACGGCTATCGGAGAGGCCACCTTTCCTTTTCTTTGCGACGAAGAAAGAGGAAGAGGCACCCACGAAATGGAGTCCGCGTTCCGTTTCCTTTTCATAGCCGCGTCGGGGGCGTGCACTCCCATGTAAACGCGACGCAAAGACACACATAGATAGCTCCAGCTTTCGGCTGGCCGGCCAACAGCAGCAGCACCTTCAGCCGGCACTGACCTCTTCCCCACTTTATTATTTAGTACAAACACACACCTAGCTACTACATATTCGACGGCAGATGGACACATGAGAGCGGTGGAGGGAAACCATCTCCCAGACCAACTCGATTTCGTTTTCGTTCCCGTTCATCGGCCAACTCGATTGGACCGGACTTTTCTTGGAGCCTCCCCTCCAAGGAAACGAAACCTGAATGCAACAAGCAAGATCCTACATGGGGCGACGGCGACGACGGCGAGCGATCCGCCATGTCTCGGTTTCCACTACCATTCAGTTAGCACCAGAACATCATAATTGGAGCCCATATGTATCTGACTGTATTAGTAACTGACTGGATGCAGGTTGAGTCGGAGGTCGACGCATCGGCGGCAGACACGGCCACGGCCACGGCCAGGGCCTCGGCGGCGGTGCTCACCGCGCCGCTGTCGCTGGAAGGGGGCCTCGCGGCGGAGCTCCAGCCGGCGAACCTCGTGCAGCGGGTGCTCAGCCTCTTCGGGAACGTCAGGCCGGGGGCCGATCTCTCGCACTTCCAGGTAAAAACAAACAAGCACCACTACTGTTCACTCTCATGTGTGATGTGAGACTCCCATCTCGAGAGCCAAATTTGAATTCACTTGCTACTTTACTTACTCCGAGGTTAGGAGCACCACAGGTACTACCCTGAATCCGGCATAATTCAGGGGGCTGGTACTGTACTATAATAATCACTTAATCAGGGCAGGTTGATTTGCTTATGGGAGATTGGAGTAGGTGGGGTTCAGCTAGGCAGCAAAAACAAGTTCAATGAATTCCCGCGGATTTGAAACAAACCAAATGGGGCCCCAAAGCTTGGACTGTACTCTATATGATTAAACATGGAAGCTTCTCTCATGGTTTAAGAATTAGAGTGATTGAGTCATGTCACTTTATGTGCCAAGATAAGCTTATTAGGGGTTAGTTAGTGGTGTGGAGATCACACCTACTTATGATTTGGTTAGTCCTTTTCCAGGGACACTAAATTGTCGGTTAGCTCCCAGATTAAATTCATGAAAGTCTAATAGGTGCACTTCACAATCTTAATTTTGTAAGAAAAATATCTACACTTTAAATGTGCCACATGTTGTTTTGTTATCTTATTGTTTTATTCGTTGAACACTACTCTTTTGTATCATTTATTCGAAAATTAATATATAAAAATACACAGCATAGTCCTGCTGCTTCCCTAAAAAAAGATATATGTTCACCGTTGCCGCATTACTATTTCACGCAAGATTTTAAGCACACTACTACTTCACTGATGAAATGACTGACGAGCCTGATCATTTCCAGCTGCCTGCTACGTTCAACCTGCCAAAATCGCAGCTCCAGTTGTACGGGGAAATAGTCTACTGCGACGGAGATGACTACCTGAGCAGATGCGGCAAAGGCAAGGACAGCCTCGAGCGCTTCACGGCGGTCGTCGCATGGAGCATCTCGACGACGAGGCCGCCCATCTTCGGTTTCGCGCCCTACAACCCGGTCCTCGGAGAGACGCACCATGTCTCCAGAGGGTCACTCCATGTCCTTCTTGAGCAGGCAACCCAACTTTTCAAAAATTACTCATTTTCTGAAAAACACATAATCTTTTTCAACAACGTGAATGATCATATATGACACTACTTTTCGAAGAAATGGTCATATGACATTAACATTTTCAGGTGTCTCATAACCCCCCAGTCTCGGCGCTTCACGCTACCGATGACGGCGGAAACGTCGAGCTTGTCTGGAGCCAACACCCAGTGCCGAAATTTAATGGTAGGCCACCAGATCAACAAATTCCAAGCTTCAGCATAACGTTGCTATTCAAGCAAGGATTTGCAAACTTATATAAACTCCTGTACCCCTTTCACTTGCTTCACTGAAGGTGCTAGCATAGAGGCAACGGTGCACGGCAAGAGGCAAGTCAGGCTTCCAAAGTTCAACGAGACATACGAGATGGACTGTCCAAACCTGCTCATCAGGCTGCTTCCTGGGCCCTCCGTCGAGTGGTCCGGCACCGTCAGGATCGTCTGCAAGGACTCTGGGCTCGAGGCAGAATTGAGCTACCACAGAAGCAACTCCTTCATGGGAATGGGAGGTGACGGGAGGTGCGTTAAGGGCAAGGTGTTCCATTCATCGAGCCCGCAGGACACCGTCTTCGAGATCGATGGCTACTGGGATAGGACTGTTTCGCTCAAGGATGTTGAGAGTGGGGAGGTCTTGGTTCTCTATGACGCGAACCTCTCCATCGCTAACCTCGTCACACCGGAGGTTAAAGAAGAAGAGGTGAAATTCTAGTAACTCAGAAGAAAATATATTGCATTTTCTTGTTTATTCAAAAAATAAAACAATTCACACTGTCTGTAGTTGTGATCACTGATGATATGGCATGTCAGTACACTTTCAGTTGAGCATGGCTGAAACTTGCAAAGCAGCACAGGGGTAGTACTCATGAATGATGGTGATAATTTGGCAGGGCTTGTCATCTACCGAGTCGGCGGTCGTCTGGAGCGAAGTCAGCGAGGCTATCCTGGCAAAGGACTGGGAGAAGGCTAGCGAGGCGAAGCGGAACGTCGAGGGCAGGGCTAGGAGCCTTGAAAAGGAGAGGAATGAGAAGGGAGAGGTGTGGATGCCCAAGCACTTCTCATTGTCCCAGGACAAGGATGGGAACTGGGACTGCTGTCCATTAGAGAAATCAGTGCGTCCAGCTCCTATCGTTGTACCTTCTCCTTCTTCATGACACTGCATTACATGTAATAACAATGTTAAATCATATAATCAAGCTGACCATTCTTTTTTACATAATCTTTTTTGGATTGTTGGATTTCCATTGATTCTTCGGAGGATATATCCTTATGATTTCTTTCCCTATAAGAGCCCTTCGGATCATAGAATTGTGGTTGCTGGATTTTGGCCTGGCCAGCAATCCTGTGACCGCTATTCCATAGGAAATACAGTATGGCATGAGCTCAAATCTCATTCATTCTTTCATATGAGACGTCCAATACATTTTGTCTGTGTCTCTTTCTACTCTCCCCATTTCTCTGAAATTCCTGTGTTATTTTCCAGTGATCCATTCGTAGGCATCATTGCAAAAATTCTTGTGCTTCAAGTCATGTACGAATCTACTCCCTCCGTTCCTAAATATTTGTCTTTCTAGAGATTTCAACAAGTGACCACATATGGAGCAAAATGAGTGAATCTACACTCTAAAATAAGTCTACATACATTTGTATGTTGTGTCCATTTGAAATGCCTAGAAAGACAAATATTTGGGAACGGAGGGAGTATAAGTCATGACATTCCAGTTATGCATTATTTTCTATTTCTCACATTTTCAGTTTTCTGCTATCCAAAGAGTCCCTTAGTTGCTTCTTTTTCTTCTTTTCTTATTCTCAGATTTCTTGGGATGAGAAATTTCTCTCGAGAATTAGATAGGGCTATTCAATTCAAACTATCTTAACACTACAGAAAAGGAGAAGATTTATCACCCGACAGTGCTATAAAGTTCCTATAAGCTATGAATCGTAAAAACAGAGCATACTTTTCCTTATTAATAATGGAATTAATGAGTATACAATTTGTACTAGTAGATTTCATTGTTGGCCTGCATGAAAGAAGCCAATATTTACATCTCCCCCTATTTGCACCACCAGTACCATCTAGTTACTGAATACAGGAGGGTTTCAAGTTGCAACTACTGTGAATCTGTCAGAAACTCCTACAAGATCTATGCTTGGATGTACTCTGCTTCGAGCCTCTTCTTCCTTCCACGCCTAAGATCATCCGATCCCTCACGTATTCGAAAGCTCGAAGGCCGGCTCGACATGAAACACTGGCTGGCCTTTCATGGAGAATGATCATTTAAGGAACAAGAGCGCTGCGGGTAGCAGAAACCATAGCTGACCGTATCGCGTGCTCGCCGCCGACTGGATCATCCCCGGCTGGTAGGCGCTTCTCACGCCATTGTCGTCGCCCGTCAGGGGCGGCTGGAAGGCACTTCCGACTCCATTGCTGCTAGCCAAGGGTGTCTCGTAGGTGCTTCCGATGCCATTGTTGCCTGTTGGAGGTGGCTGGTAGGCACTTCCGACGCCATTGTTGCCTGTTGGAGGTGGCTGGTAGGCACTGCCAGCACCATTGTTACCTGCAGGGGTTGGCTGGTAGATGCTTCCAGCACCGCTGTTGCCTGTCGTGGGCGGCACGTAGGCGCTTCCACCACCATTGTTGTCAGCAGGAGGAGCACTGTTAGCATCAGCAGGCATGTTCGACCTGTAGTGTAACCATGGGTTATCCATCAAATTCCCAGTATTTCAAAGCACAAAATTTCAGCTGTACATATCATGTTGAAGTTTGGCTCGTTCGAACTACCGAGTTCATTCAGAAGCACATTTCATGTCGAAGTGATTGATTACCCGGCTGGAGGGAGGCAGAAAGCGATGGTGTAGTCGACGGCGTTGCAGGTGAAGAGGCTGCTACCGTCGTCGTAGGCGTAGCTGTAGGCCCGCGGGCACGCCGACTTGAAGACGGAGGAGTAGGCTGTCGGGCTGCACGTGTCCGGCGTCGCGTAGGCGCCGCTGCAGCAGTACTTGTCCTGCGTGAACGCCTCGCACGCGCTCTGGCATGCCACTGCGCCGCCACCATTGCCGCCGGCCACCTGCAGCTCCTTGGGACATGCTGCAACAACATGGTTGTTTACGTGTCAGAGCATACACTTGTACAACATGGATGCATAGCTACTTCATAATGATGCTACGTGCCACGTACAGAGGTTGAGGTCGGCGGCGCAGCCGGTGGCATTGCAGCTGCCCTGCCGCGCCCGCGGGACGGCGACGACGGGCAGGTTGTACCCGTCGACGAGGCTCACGTCATAGAAGTCCTGGTCGGCGGGGCCGCCCTTCCCCAGCGTGATCTCGAAGAGCGTCGCTGGCGGCTTCCCGCCCGTGCCGCCGCACTCCATGTGTCCACCACCGCAGTCGCCGGTCTGGCACGCGACCGCGCCGGCGGCCGCGCCTGAGCCGTCGGTGCTGAAGTTGCACCCCGTGCGCGCCCATATCCGGCCGGACCAACCAGCCGGCGCCGGGATCCGCACGGTCTGCCCCGGGTCGAGCCTGAACCCCGTCGTGGGCAGCTGCGGCGTGCCCGCGCCGGCCATCGTCCCCGGCCAGATGGTGTGGGTGCAGTAGTTGGATATGGTGAAGCTGCAGCTCGCCGTCGAGACGCTGCACCACTGGGCAGCTAGTACCAACAGAACAAGGAGCAAGCATGGCGCGCCGTGATTTCTCGGTGCCTCCATGGTCTTGAGATCTTCTTGATTTCCTTGTCACTTGTTGCATGCAATCCTGTTCGTCATCAAATATATAATGGCGTGCAGGGTTCAAAAATGGAGTTAGTTGCTTGGTGAGATTGCTTTAGCATTTCCCATGGATGGGGTGGCCTCAGAGAGAAGAAATACCTTATGTAAGAATCCAAGTGACACGCACAAGTGAAAATGCTGCTAGGAGCCTATAAAACAACACTCGTAGGTGTGTATGCCTTAATTTCACACAAGGTAACTTATTTTTCAGTCTAAACCAATCCTCATTTTACACATATAATGATCACTAGAGCATTGAGTCAGTGTCCTGTACATGTATGTCCCGTGCTCTATCTACCCACTTCCACGAGGCATCAGGCTATGATATGACCATTCCAGTCCACATTGACCAATCTCAAATAAAATAAATTTTTGAAGGGGATCATTCTCAAACTAGAGCATTCAACTATCCCATTTTGGCGCAACTCTATGGTGTTCTCTGACATTGCTTTCAGGGGGATGTAAACTGCAAACTTGGCTTTGCGGCAGTAAGAAGTACCACAAGAGAGCAACGAAGGCATCAATTTCTCACATCCATGGTACAGATTCTACTTAGTATAACTAAATCATTTCATCAACATAAATGATATCTTAGGTATTTAAAGAGATGCCAGGTGCTACCCTTGCAGATCCAAAGAACAAAAATGCCGTCTTACCCATCAGTTCAGATAAAGCATAGCTTCCAACTGGGTGTTACAACAAGAATAACCATCCATGCACAACTACTTTATGCTTCAAATAACCTATGCTGCAGCCTATCAGCATTTGTGTCACAAACTCATGATGCAAATAGTAGATCCTTGAAAGTACCAGTTCGTTTTTTTCGATAAAAGACATTTCATTGAATAGATATATCGAGGTGATACAATCGCATCGAAAGAAAGCCCGGCCTCTGCATAGCTAGATGCACACAGCCAAAAAAGTACAAAGTACCCTAAAAGCAAAAAATAATTTGATACAATGCCAATCAAATAAAACATGTCCAGCCTAAGGAGTGGCAGATCCTATCCGTAGGTCACACCGCCATCTATGGGGGTAGAAAACTTCCTTGGCCGAACGCTCCAGCCGTATAGACGCCATCATAAAAAGGCCCCTGTCCTCCGGACTCTGCAGGATAGACCAAGTACGGAGCCATCGTGTACACACATGAATAACCTGCATAGGAGATGAGACACATTTGTTATTAAAAATCACATCATTCCTGGTAAGCCACAGTGCCCAGCATAAGGCCGCCGTTCCCACAAGAATATGTGCAGAAAATTGTTTATCAATACCCGGCAACCAGTTGCCGAACATGTTTCGTGCACTACATGGTGGGTATAGATTCGAAACTACTTGAACTATGACCCAAACTGCCCGAGTGAACTTGCACTCAAAAAACAAGTGTTTAATAGACTCGTCATGTTGGCAAAAGACACATGTCTTGGAACCATGCCAGTTTCGTCGTGCCAGATTATCTCTAGTTAGGATGACTCCTCTGTTAAGAATACAGAGGAAAATCTTCACTCTTAGAGGGATTTTGAGCTTCCACAATTTCCTGTTATCATGTGGAACATCACAATGAACCATTGCATCATACATGGATTTGACTGAAAATTTGCCATTCTGATGCAAGTTCCATCAAAAAATGTCTGGCTCACCTGACAGTTGAATGTCCTCCAGGCGAGTGAGTAATTCATTCTGTGCTGCCAGACGAAGGCCAAAAAGGTCCCTACGAGAAAAAATATCAAGGTTTTCTTGTCCTAAAACTTGTTTGATCGTGATGAATTTATGTCTAACAATCCTGTACAAGCTTGGATATTGCACCTTTAGTGGGTTGTTCCCTAGCCAGATGTCTTCCCAGAATTGAACCTGAGAACCGTCCCTAACTGAGAAGGTCCCAAATTGGAAAAAGAATTCCTTGGCCTTCATCACACCACTCCAGAAATGCGAATCCCCAAGTTTCCAATGAACTTGAGAAATGGCATTGGATCCCACATACTTGTTGTGAATGATTTCCTGCCATACTCCATTCTCAGTGAGTAGTTTGTAAACCCACTTGCTGAGAAGAGCAATGTTTTTAATCTCAAGGTCTTGGATTCCCAGCCCCCCTTGACTTTTAGGTCTGCATAATACGCTCCACCTAGCCAGTCGATATTTCTTGGATTCGTTATCACATTGCCAAAAAAAAATCTGGATCTAAAGTAGTCTAGTCGCTGGAGAACCCCTTTCGGTAGGTGGGAGAATGACAACATATATAAAACCATGTTGCTTAGGACTAAATTGATCAAGATCAATCGTCCCCCGTAAGACAAGAGTTTGGCCTTCCAACTGGCTAAGCGTTTCTCAAGTCTCTCTTTCACATGCTTCCACTCAGCGATAGTTAAGCGCCGATGGTGTATGGGAAT